AAAAGGATAACGGAGGGAGGGAGAGATTGAGTTAAAGATCGATAACAAAAGAACTACACATAGATAATTGATGATATATGGTATCAATACTAAAAATTGTGCATTTTGATTATAAAGAGATAAGAGTATAAACTGTATCATTTAATATATAGCATGCATATACTTATGGCTAAGAAAATGTAGGTGAACTTACAATCACGTCATTGTACACATCAAATCAAGTATTAAAATTACTGATGAAAATAAGAATACACCACTATTGTTCGATTAATTAAATAAATTATTGAAATTCAGAAAATGTCGATTATTTTATTGTGCTCTAGTGCTCAGTAACAATGTAAATTAAAATGAATTTAACTGTGAAAATACTACAACCTCCACAAATCCCCATACTTATAATAATCACCAATGACTAGCTTCAAGATGGAATTATAGTGAGAACCCGTGATCAATGAAGTTCAGTCCAGGTCAGGTGTGAGACAGTTATCTACCTCAGACAACAAATCAAGGGTCGCTAAGATCATGGATCGGCTGAAGTTAAATATTAATACTGTTGGGTGACTGCTAAATGGTCTGAAGGTTAAGTGTTAGCGCGCAAAACTGAAGGTTCTAAGTTCAAGTCCTGCGTGCTAGAACAGGATTGCGCACTACTGAGGAGTCCCAACTAGGACGAAATGGCCGTCTAGTGATTTAATGGTTGTCTAGCTTAGATCGACTCGTGAATTCAACCGTTAAAATGCAACGATCTCCACAAACTCCAATAATGATAAGTTCAAATGATTAAAACAAATAGTTCAATTTGCATTTGTCTTTTTATTTCAGATAATGGTAATAATAGAAAGAATGAGTTTAAAATAACCGTGACAAAATAATAGCCAGTTGATATTCTATCAGAAAACAAATGGATAATTTTTATCTGTATCCTAGAGCCCTTATGAGGACCGAAATATATTTTCTAGTCTCTACATTGTTCCTGGCTAGGGTTACGTATTTAGGGTATGGATCAGTGATTTGAGATTGGAGTTTTCGTCATGAACTGATAATAGCTATAAGAAGAATTACTCTGTACCATATGAATAAGTTAATTTAGTGTGAAAGTAAAAGAGATAATATTTGCTTAGTTCATTCATAGAATATTGTTGCAACACGTTTAAGTTTGTTTTAACACGTCAACAGAACGGTACAAAATCTGGGATTACAACTTTCCAATTAATACCGTTTCTACTAATTCTCTAGTTGATATCACTCTGTGATGGAAATTATCATAAAACGAGACAAACATCCGTAAACAGTATCATATTTAAATTATTAAAGAGTCAGGGTTATGGTTTACATCATAAACTGGACTTATATAGCTGTCCTAGTATAAGACTCCTCTACACTAAGCAAAAAGAACTTCACCTGATGTCACACCATGGACTCTTAGGTTTAGGTGTGAGTTGTTAGCCTTCTGATCACTAAGTTGGCATTCAATGGTTTACGGTTGTAACTTTAATTATCTCACGACGTAATGTCACCGTAATCTAACTTGGTCGCTGGAGACCTGTCTGATGCCCAAATTCCTCAGTAGAACTCCTTGAACCGCCTCTAGAATGATCTAGTTAAGGAATATACATTATTTTGAAATTATCTGATGACAGATGAAATCTTTCAACGGTATTAAGATACGTTTTCGTCAGGAATATAAATATTTTAATGACAGTTATTATAACGAATATAAGATATGAAAAGATCATTTGTTGATTACTCAACACTTAGTAGATTTTTGAGACTAATTGGAAGAATAAAGGAGCAAATCAACTAGACATACATCTGATTATCGTTTATACACAAAGTGGAAGTTATTTCCACATTAACGTTAACACTTTAGATACAATTACTGCTAACATCATATAATAACAAAATAAACGAGAAATAAATGATTAAAATTAAGTTGTATCGCGGGTGAGACTATGGACGACCTTTGAGCGACTCCAAAGTGACCTCGAGAATATTCACCTACCAACTAGGACTAGGGTTATAAACCAGTGTGAGGAATTATAATAATAATTTACAGTTGATTGTTTGGGTTAGGAATTAGATTTAGAGTTTTCATCACGAACTAACATCAGCTCAAATGCCAAAACTCTATTTAGACAAATAAATGAATGAATGCCGCACCAAAATTCAAGATCTGTTTTCTTACATCTGATTGGTTCGTTCATCAATTATAGTCTCACCGTTATTTTTTATCACATAAAGTGATACCAACTGGTAAATTATTGAAAAACAAGAATTACAATAGATATCCGTTTTTGTATTGGATTCAAGTCTTGAAATAAATATCAACTCTGTGATGCAGGTTCTTTCGGCTGACGAGTCTCAAATAGGATGAAATGCGCGGCCTGGATTCCACTGCTAGTCACCATCCATCTCTACTTATTATAATAGATAGTTTGTATTTTATTAAAGTACTATACAGGCATAACCTAATTCAAGTGTTTTGAAATCATAATAATGATATCTTACAAAAGATACACTACTATTTTTAAATAGCTGAGTCAAAATTAATTAGTTAGCAGTTTACGTGTAATCGGTAACACATATGTCTTGCTCCTGAGCAGTTGATCTCGTTAGTTACACTTTCATTGGAGATACATTAAGAAATTCATTTCAAAGCTAGAGATAACTATGAACTGTATTGTTATATATATATAGACGAGGCTATTTTTATACGAAAAGTTAACATTTTTTTTAAAAAAATTTTCTTATTGCAAATGGTAAAACAAGTTGTTGATAATGTCAAGTTACTGAATACCAATTCGTTTGATTATTCTATCTGATTGTATATACATTTATATAATACTGTTTATGTTAACGGGTACCCATTTATGAATTTATATCTCTAAGATGTACTAAATGTAACTAACTATACCACGTCTACAATTGATTATATTCCGGAAAATAAAGGGGAAAAAATGACAATTTATGCGCACTATAGTTGGTCATCATATTAAAAAAAAGATAAAAGAGGAAATGGAAAAACAGACAATCAGATAACCAGATGGTTGGACAGACAGACATTTAGATAGATAGACAGACAGGCAGAGAATAGATATTTCCTTTAATCTAAGTCTTAATATATTTTCATTTGACATGAAATTATTTCATCTGTGTTTTAACCGAATGAATGGAAAAGAGATTAGAATTGCACAGAAGTACAAAGATATATTCTAGCTGAATAGTAAATGATTAAACCATTGTTATTCAAATAGTTTATATTTCAAATGTATAGTGATACAACCGTCTGTTGTTGTTGTTGTCGTTGTTTGTTGAGTGTATAATCTTCTATTGAATTTATTCACTGGATGTCCTAGCTTCCGGGGTTGTTTTTCAAGAGTTTGTTTAGGTATTAAGACGACTTGATATATGTAAGGGGTGAATTCAGTCAATGTAGTGTGTATATGGTCATAAAATTTATAAAATCTTTAAAAAAAATATTTCAAGGAAATTTATAAGCAAAGACAGATGGTGGTTAGCAAAATACTGATCAATGACAGTCCTAAACAACAATGGTGTTATATCCGATGAGAATAACGAATGGTAACTGTTAGAATCTATTTCTGGAATAATACTATGCATATATTTTTAACGTATAATTGTTAAGTAACTAAACTATGTATATTCATGTTCCTCTTATTAAAAGCTGTATTTTGACCCATAAACTAATATTATGCGATTTACCATTGTTGAATTATGCTCAGTCTGTTAAATACAGTCTCTGACATTCACAGCCACTTTTGACTAGATCTTGTACAAATGTTATTTTCCATTTAATGGTACGTTGTGGTCTGTTTGGTTTGTATATAAACCTAATATGTTTGAAATATATGATTCATATCACAGAGACTGAGATTGGTGTTCTGGACATAACAGGCGGGGCTAGGCAGAAAGTGATGTGTGGGCTAGAATGATAAAGATTAGTTGTCTGCTTAGTCAGACATATCGATAGTCTGACAGGTGTCAGATGAGTTATATATTCCCCTATGCTCATAATTATTATTGTTGTTGGATTGTGTCTGGTTTTGATGCGAAAATATATTTACGTTCTAGTCAGGCTAATCACGTGTACTTGACCTGAGTTGTGTTGAAGTCTTGTAGAATAGACACTGGGAGGGAATCTAGTGTAGATATTCGTCTAAAGTAAATTAACATCCCATACGTGTAAACATGGAAACCTAACCGTTATAATGAGAAGCAGGAGCGATTGGAACTCTAGACTGCTCGTACGAGTTTTATGCGTCATTGCTCCAGTCGATAAAGCACTGTTCTCTAAGTGATGGTATCATTACGTTATACATTGATAGGGGCACAAACCTATAAGTTATAACAAATGGGAAAATACAAGCAAGCAATACCAAATGTATTTCAAGAAAAATTAAAAAAAAACAAAATCAATAGAGAAAACTGAGAGTGTTGAATACCATAATAATTACTCATACAATACTCATTATAATAAATATTTGTAAGCTACTACTATATGAAAATAAAACGAACTAATATAGCTCTCATGATTTGCAATTCATTGTATTTTTAACTCCTGGAGAAAACTGAGCAAAAGTTATGAGCTTCATATTTATAGTTTGCTAAACAATGGACATTTGCTTTGAATTGGTACAGTACTTCCCGACAGTGAGTATCCGCTATCATGTCAGAGATTAAACATAGGACATTCGGTCTCCCAGAGTGTGCTCGACTTTCAGAGTATTAAGTTAATATCCTATGGCTTACATTTCTAACTTCAATGAATTCACGATACTAATCAACTATCAGTTTTTCAAAAGTTAGGCGCTTATCACGTTGTTGTTATCATGTGTTATATTGGAGAACAAATACTAAGACAAAGCTGCTGCCTAGTGCACCTTGATTCACAATAACTCTCTAGATATAGTTGGTCTGTGTAATAAACTAACTCTTTTGTTCATGAATATGTAGTGTATTTTATAGAACCGTATCCCTACCTTTCGAAAACTTGTCCAGGTACCCGATGCGGTACATCATTATTAGTTTTACATGTAAATTGAAACAAGAGATCAACTCATGGTTACGATATTCTTGGTTTGTAATTATAGCCAAGTAACCAGTATACAAATCACCAGTCTACAAGAGAGGAAAAATATGATTACATTATTATAAAAAATAATACATGAAGTGATCGTGTACACTGCTGAATAAAATGTTGATAACTGTTTTTACATATATATAATTAGAAGTCGTAAAGCAAACCTTGTGGAAATGACTTAAATTTTATACTTTACACTACGTTTGAGCTGTAGATATGCACTCCTGATTTGTCCCAATATTAAGAGAAAAACGGCTGTATAATTTTTTCTGGTCTTCATTGGTTGTCTAAAAAAGATCAGTCCGTAATGCACAGTATAAAAATTCAGCAATCTCCACATATACCCAATTCACCAATAATAATTGTGTATTCAGTAGGAACTGATTTCGAGAGGTAATCCAAGGAGTCCTAATGAGAAGCGATGGCTAGTAGAGTTGGGCCATGTCACATTGCAAAATGGTCACTTAGATGTCAATCCCAAATTGTCCAATCAATGATCCTGTTATCAATATTTTGACTGATATATGGTCAGTTTATGCTAATGAGTCCCAAACGGGACGAAACTCGTGTTTTGGATTCCATGTTACATTTTATCATAATGGATATATCAAACCAACCCGTACAGAATGCACATATAACAATCAAATTTCTGTAAAATATATCAAGAATGGAGTAGTTCAAACCATCACAAATTAAATTGGTTTCCAGAGGATGTTAACACATCTAATCATTAGGTTTTATTAGATAGTAATAGCGATGATTTCAATTTTGTTGTAGTTTTTTTAAGACTAAATATCTCCAGTTGTTGAGTGTCGATAAAAACAAGAACTTATGTATATAGTCTCCGTTCATCGAAAATCATGTAACGTCATACAAATCTAACTAATAGAACTGTGTCATTATGGAAAATGTGTCACTAGTGAACATTGATATTCAGTACATTCAGTCATATAATAATACGAATTCAATAATAAACCTTTAGAAGATTTATATTCAAATGATGAATTAGGTATTCAAAGTTATTGTTACATAACAAATTTAAGTACATCATGTTTGTAACCAAATAATTTATCGACTAAAGTGAATAAATCATTCAACGTTAGCAATTATTATTCCAATCAACTACTGAGTTAATAAAAATAATCAATGATCTGATGTTATCATATTCTATTTAGATGATACAGTTAAAATTGTTACATTTTGATAATGGAACAATGAAATAGATATGTATTCTGTAATTACTGTAACTATCATTGAATAAAGTAATTTTCATTGAAAGATCATTTAAAGTAATCAAATAATGTCTGCCCTACTGTGCGACTCTTTACCAATACACATCCACGACTTCCAAGCAGGAATGGAACTTGGGATATTTGGCACTGTGAATGAACGCTTAACCTCCAGACTACTAAGTCCCTATCCAGTGGTGTTAATTTCTGACTTAAATCAATCAACAATATTGCTTGACAATCTTCCGTTGTTTTCAAGGAGTCTAATTTACTTACCGATTCAGAAAGATATCCTTTCATTTACGCTGCTAAATTACTTGTTAACATACTAGAATGATAATGATCTAGTATTTCATTGATGTCATCAAAGTTTATTGCTAAGATTTTTGTGAACTATTTATGCACCAATACGATACATATATTTGTGTTATATAATTATTAAGTAGCTAAACTATGCATATTCATGTTCCTCTTACTAAAACCTTTATTTTGACCCATAAACTAATATTATGCGATCTACCATTGTTGAGTTATGCTCAGTCTGTTAATTACAATCTCCCAATTCCACAGCCACTTTTGACTATATCTTGTACAAATGTTGTTTCCTATTTTATGGTGCGATGTTGTCTGTTTGGTTTGTATATAAACCCAGTCATATCACAGACTCTGAGATTGATGTTCCGGACTTAACAGGCAGGGAGAGGGACTGATAAAGACTCTAGATTGCTCGTACGGATTTTATACATCATTGGTCTGGTCGATAAATTATTATTCTCTAATTTGCGTCATCGTTACGTCATATATTAATAGGGCACAAGGCCACAAGTTATAATACTTTAAAGATTTACAATTTGCCGTCCAACATCTAATCAATAAATGAACAAAATGATACACACTTTAAAACAATTAATCCCTTTGATAAATTTCCATGATACAATAAGAAGACGAAGTTTATCAGAATGATGTGATTTATTTGAGTAACACATTTCGGATTAACTTTAGCCTGTTTAGCTGACCTTTTAATTTTCATATAGATATATTTTAGCAAGTATATGTGCGATCAGATTGTTCGAAATGTATTACACAAATATATCACATAATTCTGATAAACTTCGTCTTCTCATTGCATTATCGAGATATACACATTCCCAAAATTTCATTTACTCTATAATTAACTCATTAAGCCTTAGTAACAAATTTTTTTTTCTAGTCTTATAGTTCAGATCAAATTCTATTATTCAAGTTTCAATATGAACATTAATCTAAATTACTCAACATTGTACACACTATACTTAGATTTTACGTAGTTCGATTTAATCGATAAGAAATCGTGAAAACTAGATCTTCTAATAGTTAGCATTCTTCAGTAATCTTGAATGAATTCCATTCTCTTTATAAGATTCAAAACTGAACAAAATATCTTCAATAAGTTAGACATTATCACCGTTGGATGCAGGCCAGCTCAGTGGTCTAGTTGGTTAAGCACCTGGCGCGGGACTGATAGGTCCTGGGTTCGAATCTCGCACTGCTGAGGAGTCCCATACTAGGATGAAACGGCTATCCAGTGCTTCCAGGTTTTCCATGGTGGTCTAGCTTCAATTGACTCATGATTTCAACCAGTGAAATTTGTAAAAATCTCCACAAAACCAATTCTGATAATAATTTTATGATTAAAATATACTTGACATTATTTTTATGTCATCTTTCGTAATGAAGTAACTTAGGAAGTGAATCGTGTACTTTTATTTCATACGAATGCACGTATGTATGTATGGATGGATGTGTGTGTGTGTGTTAATTAACATTTCCCTATCATACTAATGAAATAAATATTTAAAAAAATCGGCTTGGAAAATCTACTTATTACCTGTGCAAACAAGATAAATTGAAAAACAGAAAACAACCTGATTACATATTAAATTAAATTAGTTTAAATGTTAAAATCATATTTTGTTGTGTTTTTTTCGTTGTTGTTGTTGTTGTTAACGGATTATTGAATTAGTTGAGAATTAGTTTAATTATGCTTTATATAGTTACTAAGAGATTTTCTTATAAGAAAAAAAATATAAAGAATGAAATGTTTATTAAGTAATATAAAATAAATTAAGTTAACACTAACTAATGTGAAATGATGAATGATTGTTTTGTTTTTGAATGGACCTCATCAGTTGATGATAATCGTTTTCTAGTAAGTCGATTATCTTGATTCTTTGAAATACTTCAAATTTCAGAGTGTTGACTATTGAATTATTGTAAACATTAACTTGACTCACAGGTACGATACAGTTGATTGATCACTAAGTAAGGACTAATGTCATGTTTATGTAATCCCACTTAGTAATCAATCAGTTATAAACTATCTTAGTCCTAATATTATAGAGAGTGATGCTTGGTAAGTTAAGATGGAATCCAGTAGAAATCATTAATTCCTTTGAATATTATATACACCATACTGACAACCAATAACTAATAAGAAATTCTAAATCATATAGTGTTTCCAGTAAACTACTTTGAATTATTTATCACTAACTAAGAAACAAAAAACGATATACATTGCTTTCGACGAGATACCAATGTCAAGATGAACTTGACAAAGAACTTTATAAATGTAGTTAGCATAACTTTGTTTTCACATCCTCTTCTTCTTCTTTGTATGCGTTCGCCTACAAAACGATACCTCCTAAAATGGTGTTTGGTAAAGCTGCGAAGAAAGCGTCGAAGGTAGAAAAAAGAGTTATGCTATCTACATCTCTAAAATTCTTCGACAATAGTATTTTATCGAAAGCAATGTCAATCATCAATTCGTTTATGAACAATATCTTTGAGCGTACTACCGTAGAATTCAGCCGACTTTTATACTACAACAAGAAATGCCAAAAAAGAAGCTACTTTATTAAAACAAAATCATTTAAATCATTCATATTTACTTACTATATATTCAGTAATACTAAGACCACATGGTATATTTGTTGATTCTTGTCTCCAATCAATTGTTTTACACCATATATGTTTGTATTGAATTTATTATAATTTAATATTGTATTATTCCATTGTTTATGATATAAACCAGAATTTTTTATATTTAATATACATGTATTAATCAATTTTTGATAGATTGTTAAATTTGTAATAAATGCAATGGAATGATGTAATTGTAAATTTTCAGCTAAATTTTCATATGGTGATTGATTCATTGGTAAAAAACAAATTTCTAATAAATGTCGTTGACAAAATACATGTACTAGGGGGTAGGAGTGGGTAGGTGGGGGTAGGGGTGGGGAAAAACAAACAATTTACATGAGATTAAAGAGATTCTTTTAAAAAAAGTTAATTAATGCAGGAATAAGAAGAAGTGATCGTGGAGCAATATCGTGGACTGATTGAAGTTAGACATTAACATCGTTGGATGCTGACTCAGTTGTTTAGAGGCTAATTGTTCACATGCGAGACTAGTAGGTCTTGGATTCAAACCTAACGAGGTGGAGTCGTAGATGTGCACTGCTGAGGAGTCTCATGTTAGGACGAAACGACCGTCCAGTGTATCCAGCTTTTCTATGATGGTTTAGCGTTATGAATTCGACCACTAAATTACTATAATATTCATAAAACCACTGACTAATTTAGAACAGAATTTAGATCAGTCTCGGTAAAATGAGTAGATAATTGAACTTAGTTACTCAATTGATAATGTGTTAAACACTTGGAAGGAAAGGTACTGTGTCTAAAATCTCATCACGAACATCAATAATGAGTTGTCGGATGAAAATTTAATTGGTGAATCTGAAATGAAAACGAAACTGCTTACTTGTAATCGATTGCTATTCACTATTTGTTTTTTTATGAAATGTGAAGCCTGTTCTCACTATTAAATGATGTTACCTATAATGAATAATATTTGAAGTAATGAAATACAGGAATAATTTTCTAGTTTTCAACCTGTTTGTAGCAGAGCCTACTTATACTACGTGATTGTCTTAATGGAAGTTAGTGAAACTGTTGGGGAAATGGGAATTCTGCTTGATGAACCATACATGTTTTACATACTATGATATTATTTACACTTTAAGTCACACCTCTCTCATATTAAATCGAAGACGATTGGTACAAATTATTTTTGCGTAGCTGATATCATAGAAGAATCCAAGTTAGGCAACGTTTAAAAACCAGGAAGCATTGAAGAGCCGTTAAGTTCTGATATGGGACGTCTCAAGAATATACACTGACGTTTCCAGGAGCACGTTTAACTTTTACACCACTGAGCAGACAACGGATGGTTTTTGTGTCCAGATTCAATTTCCGACACCATACGTTTAGTTCCATTGCCTGCAATGGACATCTCTCTCATACTTGACTTACCTGAGGTCCATTGGTTATGGCTTCTCAATAGGACTGTAGGATTTATCAGTTGAAATTAGTCACAAGTAAGTTTTCTTCTATCGAAATCAAGCTTCAATAAATATGACTTTTTATAAGAGACCTTACCAGTTTTCTTAATACAAATATTTCTAAGGCTTATAAGTTTAGTCTCATTTTATAAACAACGTTGCTTACATGTTGATTTCAACATTTTGACATTAATAAAAAGCTACCTATTAAACATCCGTAAATAGCCCCAAAATTTCTGCTGGAACATTAACTCATCAGTTATTTTACTAGAATATGTTCACAAAAACCCGAGTCAATAACGAAAAAAATACAATCATATTCTATTACTAAAATTTAGTTGCGTAGACGTGGATATATGCAAGCATCCCTGACAGCATTCGATCTTCATTTCTACACAAATATCCATAAATCACTTATTATCACTGGCCTCAGTTATTTTTGATTGAGACCATAAATCGATCAATGTTAAACAGCTATTAAAATACCTGGAAGCAAAGAATAGCCTTTACGTCCTAGTATCAGACTTCTCAGCAGTGTGCGTCCAAGATCTCGTGTCAAAGGACCTCGAACCTACGACCTCCGGTCTCACGCGAAAACACCTGACGCCTAGACCACTGAGACAGCATCTAACGGCATTAATGTTTAACTTCAACCAATTCACGATATCGCACAACCATCTTCCATTTTCTTTGGTGGTTAACTGCCTCACACACGACACGGATTAGATCTACTGGTGACAGCTTCTCACTAGAACTCCGAAAATCCCCTCTCATTTATTTCATTTATTTAATTACCTGTTATATAAAAACCATATAATACTTGTAACCAATTATTCTTTTTTGCATTCTAACTTATTCATCGAAATTTCTATATTTATTTTTTGTTTTGATTCACCATTAAAAACAAGTGCGAAAATTAAATTATCAATATTATTGTTATTACAGTCTTTATTATTCAACTTGCCTATCACCTTACTTAATAAATAATAATGATAATAACAACTAATATAATGATTATCATAAAATCAACAATGGTTATTGACCAACAATAGAAAATGAAGCTTTGAAACCATTAAAATCTATTTTCAGAGAAGTTGTTTATCTACGTACTTACCTACCTACCTATATATCTGCCTACCTATTTATCTACCTACCTACTTGTTCCTATTATAGACATATATACGAATAAATTAAACGACATTAGAGAAAAAAGGTCGATTATCTCGGCAAAGTTTCTTCTCTATCAGTAATATACCAACGATACTGATGACGAATGTGATGATGATGATGATGATGATGATGATGACGATGACGGTTAACCTTTATTTAATCGCATGATTTAATGATTAGAATTATTAAATCATTAACCATCATTTATATTCAATTATATTGGATAAATATTATTTTCCCTTTCAATTTAATGACATCACGTGTAGGAAAAAATTAATCAATAAAAAAGTAACTCATGATGATGTTGGCTAGTTTTTTTGTTTGAACGTACATTTGTCCAGAATTTAGAAAAAAAACAAAAGTAATAACACTTAGATACTAATAATTAGGCGGGAAAAAAAAGCAAAAGAACACTTGTATACGTAACAACTATCTAACACTCCAAAATGAAAGGCATTAGATTTTGAGTTTCAACATAAAAATCAATACTGAGATGTAGTTTAAGTATCCAGATGACCAGTTCCATGGTTAGCGACGCCATCCCGTAGAAAACTAACTCGCTAAAAAAACGCTAAACAGAAAAAAAATATTTAAACCTTTTAAACTATGCCCTGGGAATCAGAAGGTCTTTATTTAGAAGAGTTATGACGCCTCATGATGAAAGCCGAGTTTCTTCGGAAGTCACGAGGCCGATGCCTCTTCTGCCAACCAGAGTAACCATTTATGGAATACTCGTACAATGTGGGAGACCGGGAAAGTCTTCCAAATTGCTGCAACATGATGAACTGATGATCTTAGGATTTGGAACCTCATCATTCAACTTTACAATCTTACACATTAACAATAAAGTATTCGGTATACACTTAATCACATTTTAATAACCGAGATGTTTTTACAAGTGACTGATCAATTAGAAATGATCAATGTCATGTTTGACTAGTTTTTTGATTGAAAACAATCAATAGTAAGAACTTAATGTAACTTGTAATAAAATATCTGACTATGACATTCACTACTGACTTAAGATATAGTCAGTGCATACAATTTATTTTATCAAATTAATAATAATAATAATGATATTCTCTGAACTAATTAAGAGAATAAAGGGTTGTTTTAAAGTGGACATTATATAGTATTATACTATAAACTAACTAAACCATAAATTATAGTTCACTATCATTAGCTGTACCATTTTTCTTCCACTTTGCTCAGCTATTTTCCATCCTAATGGGCAGTTGATTGGAGGTCTATATCTTACACTTGTTGGTAGAACATGCTGGCGAAGTCACTCATGGCGAAAATATAGTTGTTCTCGAGTGAAAGTCCACATCTATCGTGATTATTATAAGACATATTATGCAATAAATATTAGCCTATCTTAAATCATGATAGTGAATCCCTGATGAGTTTCAAAAATAGTACTAAACAGTTTTTAACTCATTATTGATTTTACTAGTTGAATTCATGAATTGATGTAAGCTAATTCACCATTAAAATGTGGCAGCATTAGACAACTGTTTCGTTCTAGTATGTGTCTCTTCAAATTTAACATCATTCTATGATCTAATAACTATTAGTCTCAAAATTAACGTCTGACTTATCTTTTTGTTTTGTTTTCTTCTTAGTAAGATTTTGATGGAGTTTTGTTCGCTGAACTCAGAGAACAAAACTCCATCAAAATCATCTCTATCTGAGCTACAAATCTTCTCCACCATCTCTTAGCAAGATTATTCCATCAATCGTTTTTTAATTTTATTATTTATTTTTATTTACCATGACATCATTGTTATCATATACTATCATCTGTTTAACAAGTTCAATTTGTAAATAAGCCATTTATTGAATAAATGACAATTAGTTTCGATTAGATGACAATTAAGTCTGTTTATCAATGGACAATTATTCTCATCTGATATAGAAGAATAAGATAAATAATAGAATTGAAGATTCAATTGGAAATATTGACTATATATATATGGATACATATAGAATTACCTAAATTTTCTCCGCATACTTCATATTCCATTATTGTTGTTTGTGATAGCATAGATTTATAATGATTCTGTAAATGATTATCATTATCATTATTGTTTATGATCTCATCATTATTACTATCAATAGGATTATTATTATTAGTATGTTGTATTACATTAGTCTGTGTTGAAGATGTTATCATAGATTGAAGATTATTTGGGCATAAACAACCAATCGATGATTCAATGTCTTGTTCATTCATTGTATAACATTTTCCATTTGAATGAATACATGACGAACAGCTGGAATGATTCCCTTCAAGTTGACGAACTGAAATCAATTTTGAAAATTAACAATATATATATGTATATATCACATTGAAATAAAAATAACAAATCTCCTCCAAGATGAATATATATATATATATATATATATATATATAAATAGAAGTGAAAAGTTCTTCTTATGATAATTCATTTGTATTACTGACTTCAGTTAATTACTTACGCCTGTTACTCCTTATGGAGGAGCATAGTCCGCCCACCAGCACTTTCCATCCAACCCTGTCCTGGGAAATCCTTTCCAGTTCTTTCCAGTTCTTATTCATCCTTTTCATATCTACTTCTATTTCACGACGTAATGTGTTCTTTGACCTTCCTCTTTTCCGTTTCCTTCAGGATTCCAAGTTAGTACTTGTTTCGTGATGCAGTTCGTTGATCTCCAGAATGTATGTCTTATCTATTTCCATCGTCTTTTCTTAATTCCCTCCTCAACTGGAAGCTGGTTTGTTCTCTCCCACAGAAGGCTGTTGCTGATGGTATCCGGCCAATGGATGTTGAGTATCATGCGTAGACAACTATTTATAAACACGTGTACCTTCTTGATGATGTCGGTTGTAGTTCTTCAAGTTTCAACTCTGTACAGTAGAGCTCACTGTCTAGACGTTCGTGCTGAAGATTGTGACTTTGATATTGGTTGAGAGTTTTTTTGAGTTACACATGTTCTTCAGCTGTTGGAATGCGGCTCTTGATTTGTCAGTCCTCGCTTTTACGTCTGCATCGGATCCTCCTTGTTCATCGATTATGCTTCCCGGGTATGTGAAGGATTCCACATTTTTCAGAGCTTTACCATCATACGTGATTGGGTTGATGTTCTCCGTGTTGTATTTGAGGACCTTGGCCCACTGATGCACAGGCTGTTGCCATACTGGTTGTCTTCATCTGCATTTGTTCGTGTGCATGGGATAGGAGGGGTAGGCTGTCTGTGAAGCCCAAATCGCCTAATTAGTTCTGAGCTGTTGAATGTATTTCGTGTTTTCTTTCAGGTGTTGAGGTCTTCATAATCCAGTCGACCACCAGAAGAAAGAGGAAAGGAGTGAGTATGCAGCCTTGTCTGACGTCGGTCTGTTTCAGACTCGTTAGTTAAGTGAATAACGTGTTAAGCGTTTGAAGCGACAAGTACTTTGTTTTAGTACTGATGTGACTGTCAACAATGGGGTTCAGGTACATCTAGGTGAAGAGTCCCAAATATGACGAAACAGTCGTTCTGAATCCAACTGTTAGCTGGTTTCTAATTGTAGTTTTACTTTAGTTAGCGTGACGAATTGAAAAGCCATTTTGAAGCCGAGTAGAACTATGCAACCTTACATTGGATTAATTTTACTAGTGCATTTCAATTATACCACCTGAAGTATTAAAAATATGCATCTCTATACAGGCTCATTGCCAAAAAGACAGTATGCTATGAAATCAAATACCTGCAAATCAAATCATATTGATAAAAGAATAGAAGTATTATAAGTATGGTGGATTTCTGGAGATCGTAGTATTTTCACAATTGAAATCATGAACTGATCTTAGCTAGACCGCCATTAAAGACCTAGAAGTAGTGAACGTGGTTTTTGTCTTTGTATGAGATTTTTGAGCAACGCTCGCCCTCGACACCTGCCCATTACACCGTAGCTAAGATCTCTTCGAGATCTCAACTGTAGAAAATATTACTGCTTCGAGTTTTTTTATATGGTTACCATATGTCTGTTGTCCACTTTGAATGAGTAAAAAATATTGTTGTATGTTATTTATTGTTAAGTTTATTAGCTGAAAATTGAGGTCATTATGTTTTTACAATTTGAGTATTACACATCTTATTCTTTAACTACAATCATTCTATATTTATTAAATTCACTTAGTTGTTTATTTTATGTTAAAAACGTGATGACTATTTTGACTTAGTTTATCCCATTTGTGATTAAGCCAATAACAATTATGTTTAGGTCATGATCCAATAGCAGTTTAGGCTCTGCCTTTTGATATTCATACAGATTGATGAGATATAATAAAGAGAAGTAACTCAACTTGTTATCGATTTGTGTGTTGTCTGCGTAATCGGTTCTCATTATTACACTAATCTGTTTAATAAGTAAGCAATTAATAGGATGGGATATGAATACACATAAAATCTGTCATTAAATATATTGTTAATTAATTATTATTTAATAAATTATCTCAGCTATTAAGTACTCATCTCAACTGATATGATAGAATCAAAAAAGTGGAATTTGATCAATGAGAATTGATCAGTTTGTTATTGCGAATACAGGTTTCTATAGTAAGTTATTGTTTAACTGATGTTATATACTATTCACTTCAAACATACAAATCTGTTCATGAATTTAAAGGTAAATAAATCATATAAAAAATCCAACTTATTCTTCATAACATCAGTCGTTGATTTTCACTGCATGTTGTTAAACTCTTGATCACAGTATCAAACACAAGCCAATTAAGCATTTTGTATTTGGAATACTAACAAAAATAGGACGCTTTTCATTGAGATCAGGAACCGAATAATGTTAAACCACCATTGGAAAACTGGAAGCACTGGATGGCCGTTTCACCCTAGTGCGGGATTTTTCAGTAGTACGCACCCACGACCCCGCTCATGGGATTCAAACCCAGGGCTTTCAATCTCGCGCGCGAACGGTTAACCTCTAGACAACTGAGTCGCCATCTTACATTGTTAATGTCGAACTTCAACCAATCCACGATGTTGCGCCACCGTTTACCATAGTCCTCAATGAGTAACTGCCTCAAAACAGACCCGGTTGAACTCCGTTAGTCACGGCTTCCAGGTTTTCCATGGTGGTCTAGCTTTAACTGACTCATGAATTCAATTATTAAATTGTTACAATCTCCACAAAAACCTTCAACTCTGATCGTTTACAAAAGTGACAACTTATATCAACTTTAAAATGTAATTGAAAAAAATAATTGTAATGCACTGATATCATCTCACACGGGAATCAATACATATTTTGGAGTAGTCGGAAGCATTGTTTAATTTATTATCAAGACATTTGATCATAACCACCTCCCCCCCCCACTACTTACACATTTGTGTTAACATATTAAATAATAATTGAATCTCCATAGTTCAGCCTTTTGTGCATCATAGTTCAATGATCGTGGATGTTCACTTCTGAGGAGTTCTACAGTGAACACTTACACCAGTGGGAACAATTGAATGTATTTAACACAAAATTACAGGACTTGTTAATAAAATCTAACAATCATAATGTAAATGCTTAATTTGCAAAATATCCATCAATTATCTCATAATGATTCAGACTTCATTGTTCTAGCATTTTCATACAAACTGCATCCTGTTTCCATTCTTTACTGTTCGATCCTCTTGTCTCTCTGCTGCCAGACATTCTGTTCCTGACTAACATCATATATTACTTATGTCAATATAAGTAGTACACACAATTCCACAATGGGACGAAACGGCCGTCCGGTGCTTCCAGGTGTTTCAATTGTGGTCTAACATCAATCGATTCATGATCTCAATCAAAAACTTAATAATCTCCACAATCCTATGGTGATAAGACATTTTTATCACATCTAAACGACTACAGTATTATTAGTCTGAACAGCAAACTTTTAATGTCTTTACCAGATTTGTATTAACATTTCATTATAACGATGTTATAATAAGTAAATACTGATTTTTAATGGTTGAGATTATGAGTCCATTGAAGCTAGACTACCATGGAAAACCTGGAAGCACTGGATGGCCGTTTCATCCTATTGTGAGACTCATCAACAGTGCACATCCACGATCTCGCCTTGTGAGCGTTTAACCACTAGATCACTGATACTAAATACTGATTACTTAAAAATACAACCAACTCAGTAGTACATCACAATAATGAAATAATAATTCCTTTTTTTTTATAAAAAATCTTATCTGTAGAATAAAACAATTAGAATTACTTACAACATTCATGATAATCTAAATGATTTTGATAAACTGGTATATAACCAGGTATACATTGACATGTAAATTGAATTAAATCTAATTCATTATCCGTTCTGATACAACGTGCATTTTTAGTTCGACATAATAAATCAATATTGTTACAGTATTCCCATAAATCGACTGAAAATGAAGAAAATAAAAATTATATCCCACTGAAGAGGAAAAAAAACTGAAATGAATTTAAGTAATATATATTAAAGCATAGAGTAATGGTATGATGATGATGATGATGATGACTGAATTCATATTTACGTTTTGTCTTATTCACATAGAAAGTACTATATGACGAAAAGAATAGTAAAATCTAGATTAAAACACAGATATATGAATGGAGAACATTGTTTTGAATAAGTTCTCTTCAGGTTCTACAATTATATATCCAAATTAATAATCCAATATATATATATATATATATATATATATATATATATATATATATAATGAGAAGCCGTGACTAGTGGAGCCTAATCTGTATAGGGTGTCAGACAGTTATCTACTGAAAACAGTGGATAAAAGGTTGCATGAGATCATGGATCGATTGAAGTTAAACATTAACATCGTTGGACGCTGGCTCAATAGTTTGGAGGTTAGGCGTTCACGTGTGAGATCGAAGGTCCTAGATTTGAGTTCTACGTGTGGGATCATGGATGCCTATTGTCGAGCGAGGAGTTCTGTATGAGGACAAAATGGCCGTACGGTGCCTCTAGGTCATCATTGGTGATCGGTTCATGATGTCAATGATATGATATAGTTTTAAACGATGTATTTTGTGTAAAACGTCACCACTTATTGGATCAATAGTTTACATATGTAATTATAGAACCTGATAAGAATTTATTCCTTATTCTCATATCTATGTTTTATCGTGATAGAGATTTTTCAGTGATTAAAAAGTAAACTACGTAAAGCTTTTATCATTAAAATTCTTTGGATAAACTTATTTGTGTAAATCAGATAGTCAATGGTTAATAATCACCACCTTAATATGAATATTGATATAGAAACAGTTATTTTGTAGATTGTACAGTATACATGAAAGAACTACATGAATCTATACAAAAACTTGAGACAGTCACTAATAATATACTTACAAAAGAACAAATACTCTAAAATGATCATATATGTAATGTTAAGAAAGCCTGAATTTTCAAAAACGATATAGAAAGTCAAAAACAGTCACTAACACCAATCATTGAACTGATCTAAATCCTAATATACTACTATATTACTTTGACAAGAACAAACAATAACAGTGATGTATTAAGATTTAAAGAGCTAAATGATATACTCCATCTTAACAAATGAAATCAAACATATAATTATTAATAGTAGTACAGTTGTTAAGTGAACCAACTGAGTAAACAAATATTGTGTTTAAAAAAAAGTAAATACAGTCTATTATTAAGCATCAATAATATATGTAACTTCTAAGAAACATTATAATTAACGAGTTTTTTGTGTTATGAACTTCATGTACAGTGTTTGCTTATTAATTATCAAGGGGAATATGTTACACCCAACGTTAAAATAATATGATATCTAAATGTTTGTAGTCAACATTATGTTGAGAGTTTTAAGAATTAAAAAAACAAACAACATAGTTAAATCCATTTGGTATTGTTTACTTGAATCTTCCCATTGATGATTAGGAATGCAATTGATTAATGTTTTATTCTCATATGTGCATACTGTGCGTATTACCTTGATATTGCCTTAATTCACGAGCTTTATAAACAAAGATAGATGGTGGCTAGCAGTGAAATCTAGGACGTGCGTTTCATCCTATTTGAGCCTCGTCAGCTGGATGTACTTGCATCTCAGAGTTGATATTCACTCTGGGCCTCAAATCCAGTACCGTTCGCTTCGCGTTATCCACTTAGCTAATGAGTCCTGATAGCCAGATACATCCAATTGACGAGTCCCAAATAGGACGAAACCTCTGTCACGGACTCCACTGCTAGCCACTATCCACCTTTACTTATAAACCACATATTTGCTTAAGTCTACCTCATATAAAAAATGCAGTATTTATTTAAGAAGTAATTTGTCTTAGTGACAATTTTTTGATTTTAAAAAAAATTCACTTAAGAAGTAATTGCGAAGGATTGAACATTTAGTTCATTTAATCGAGAGAAAGATGCTTCTACGATTTTGTTCCTAAGCGAATCAAAATAGTTTGTTATAATGATTTGATAAAGGAGGGATCCATGACATATTGTTAAACGATGATAAGTATTATCTTGTTTAGAAAAAATAATTTCACAGAGGTCCTTCCACAAATATTATCAATATATTTTCAAGAAATCGATTATATAACATTCAAAGGAGCCAACCACTATGTGACAAGCTCACATTTGATGCATAACACAGTATTCAATAATAAAACAGTCACCTTGTGCATCACTATGTGTGTGAAACAAAGAAAAGATATGCATAATCGTATTGTCTACTAAAAAGATATCATCTCTTAATCATCATGTCCTTTGATCTAGTAGAAACTTATTTTTTGTCATAAACATAGAAAAGTTCTAAAAACAAAATGAACAATGGAAGAAGAATTCAACATTATTCGTGAGGAGAAATGTTATTCAGCATTGTTCTCGTAATGATATTTCAGATTAATTCTATAATTTATCCAAGTAAAAATGTCAACTGTTTTGATTTACACGTTCAATGTAAACAATAACAATTGAAAATATGAGATAGAATAGATATGAATGAGTCAATTTGTCATGTATGCTACTTAAATTGACAGATATAAGTAGTAGTAGTAGTATGTAACACCAATCAAAATTGGTATGCTTGTCAAAAGAATATTGAGAAGATTAAATTGAAAAAAAAACAGAAAGCGAAACACGAAGAAATTGGGAATTGTAAGAATCATAAAGGATGTAAAGGACATCTGATGGACAGACATGATAATGAATTATTTTATGTATGGTTTTCATAATTTACCAAGACACTCTGTAATGTTGCACTATATAAGAAATTAGTTGTCCCCAATTTAGTTCCTCGATTACTATAAAAACACTAGGTGAATTATTAATGGATACTTCTCCGATCTATGGTTAATGAAATCTGTCTGACTACTGATAGAACAAAAAACATACGCTGTAGAACAGAGAGAGAATATATACTTGATTGTTGAACATCCACTAATATCGCTGATATATCTAATAGGAAGGAACATTTCTTTTAGTAATTTGAATTATTATATATTTGTAGTTGACTTTAGCTATCCAACTAAGGAGTAGTAAACTGACATTTGATTCTAGTATGCAACAGTGATTACTCCAGGTTTTATAACCGACACTTCAGGATTTCATGGCCATTAATAACATCTCTTTCAAGATTTCTAATCACAACTTCAAGAATTCTTATTCTTATAGGTCATTATTATTTACATTAGAAATGTTTCGTTGATTGACAAGCTTAAGTTCGTGCTTAATATAAATCCAAAAAAATTGATTTCTCTCTCAAAACCGTTTATGATAATGATATTATTAGATCCACCTTTATAGTATTCAATGCATCAGTGCATTCTATTGAAGCTGATTATATAAGTTTGCAACATTCACCAATCATTGTGTTTAAATTAACTAAACATTTTAAACCGAGAAAATATTATTCACTTTAAGCAGATGATAAAAAAAACACGACTCATTTCAAATGTTAAAATATCTCATGCAATCAAAGTACCGTGATCGTTGAGTACAGCACTATACAACTACAAATTTAACAAATATTTTTTAGAAAACATGAAGTTCAGCGAAGGGATCTCTTTTCAACAGATCTATTATCAAGCTGTAAAAGTGTATATTTATATACAGAGAGGAGTTTTTGAATAATATAACAATTATAATAGTTGAATTCATAAGTCATTTGAATCTAGATCATCATGGAAAACCTGGAAACACTGGACGGTCGTTTTTATCCTATTGTGGGACTCCTCAGTAGTGCGCATCTACAGTCCCGCCTTTCAAGATCCGAACCAGGACCTATCAGTCTTGAGCGTGAGCGCTTTACTTTTAGACCACTGAGTCGTCATCTAAGGGTGTTAATGTTTAACTTCAATCAATCCACGTAGTTGTGCCATCGTCCACCATTGTCATCAGTGAGTTACTATCTCACAACATATATACATGAAAACGTTTTATTAAGGCTCTAGTTCCGTTAAGAAATGTGAACAAGGAATAACCAAGATGATGTAATACAAAGATTATCATACTATTACATAAGAGTAAAGAGATCCTTTCACTGAACTTTATGTTTTTAATGTTTAAATAGGAATTATCTAGGACATTCGTTTTACTTTTTATTTAGGACAATTTGAGTTGCTTTTTAAAACAAAAGATAACAACAACCATTTCTTATTAAATCATGCTTACACACTTACCCATTATTGCTTTACAAAAATACCATTTAGGAAACTGTTGTTGTACAAGCTGATATGTTGACAAGGATATATTTTCATCAAGTTTATTAAACGATGTTGAGTGATGTGGTTTTTGTAAATGACTATGATTTATATTTGTTGTTATATCATTCATTGAAAATGAAACTAACATTCCAGTATTATGTGGACAACTGCATCCATATGTCTCTGTACTGAAATGTAAAAAAAGAAGACGAACGGTATAACATTATACTTTGTCAATACAAGTTGAAGTTGAAATGATTCAACAGAAGACCTAAAAAAAACTTTGTTAAACACTTTTCTTCGATAATTGTTGTATCACACATTTTATCATCTAGGGTATACAAAATGAATAATAACCCAGTAGACAGAACTTAGAATATCAGCTTTGTATAATAACTCCGCTAGTAACTAAAAATATACATTTAACTGTGAAAGTGGTTCATTTCGTTCACTTTTGTTGTATGTTTATTCGGATATAATGTCTGATAAACCATAATATAAAGTGAATTCACTAACCGATCTAAGTTAGACAATCATTGAAAATCTGTACGTACTGGTGTAGTGAAGGAGAACACAGGTGAGGGCAACCGAATTATACTTAGCACCACATCACAGAGTTACTTGGTAAAATAGAAGAACCATATTATAATACCTAATTTGCAAAATGTTCAATAATTGTCTCAGACTTCATTGTTCTTGAATTTCTATACTAATTTCTTTCTATTCCCGTTCTTCCTTTCTTGATTTTCCCGATCTTCTGCTGCCAGACATCACATTTCTGACTCGCGTTATATACTACTTGTGTTAATATAAGTAGCACGCATCACACTGGAAGGCCATTTCGTCTTAGTATGGGAATTCTCAACCACAGTAAACATCCATAACCCTTCTTTTGAGAATCGAACTCAAGAGCTTAAGTTTCACCCGTTAACATCTAACCTCTAGACTATCATACATGTTAGGCTCTCATTGTTATCGACATTTTTCTAAACGAACCAAATCACCATGTGTCAAGATGAATTGAATAAGTGAAAATACAAAATAATAAAAACTATTCACTAAACATTTGGTATATATATTGTATGCTTTTATTTCGAAAGCTGCTATTAGGTAATAAAAAACTACACATTACCTAGTACTGAACTTACCATGTGTATATACAACTTTATCAAATAATTGTAAAAGTACTAAACGATAGATACTTACTTTTCAGAATACTGAAGAATTTCTTTAAATATTACATCCACAGGGCTATTGAAAGGGATTAATTTATGATCTTTATATTCATAACGTTTATATCGTTTCATTTCATTTGAATTTGATATTTGATTAGAAGTATAATGATAACATACACCGTTAGCTTGTCGACATTTTAAACAAAATGGATTTTGATTATTCTCTGCTGACTGTCCTATGAAATTAATTATTCATTGAAAGGTTTTAGAGATATATTATAGAATAACCATGTATTACATCATTAGGATCATTATATTAATTGATGGAAGAAAGATGTTTAATAATTATGAAGTCCGAATTGAAAACATTATAACATATGTATCACTTAGAAAGAATACAATTGCTTCATTCATCAAAAAAACAAAAAAATACTGATTTTCAATAGTTGAGATCATGAGTCAATTGAAACTAGATCAACAAGGGAGACCTAGAAGCACTGGAAGGCCCACTCGTCCTATTATGGGACTCCTTAGCAGTGTGCATCTACGGTCTCGTCTCCTGAGATTTGAACACAGGAGCTATCAGTCTCGCACGCGAACGCTTAACCACTAGACCACTGAGCTGGTCGGCATCCAACCGTGATAATGTCTAACTTTAACTAATCCATGAAATTGAGTGACACATCCACCGTTGTCATCAGTGAGTTACTATCTCACAATAGACCTGGTTGAACGCCACTGATCAATGCTTCTCACTAGAACTCCAGGATATACCTCTTAAAGCCAGTCACTAATGAGCATACGTTGATTAGTATCAGAAGGGGTTTTGTGATTAACACTTAATAAATAGCGGTTGGTTAATTGTAAAATTGAAGAAGATATTCCATCTAATTTATGACATAGCAAATTCATCAGTCACGACTTCTTACCCATTTAAATGTCCGCGATCTGCCTCAAAATTTACAAATGGTTTACAATTAGGGATTGTGTTAATCGTCTGACATCATATTTTTAACATCTTATCGTATTTCGTATAATAATAAATGATTACGATGGTTGGTTAACAAATAACCCCCATGACTATGAAAATGCGTTTAAACTTTAGAACTGATTCTCGTGAAAAAAACTACATACATGTTTCGTTATCTATTACTAAGATTCAGTGTTTTAAGTAATCAAATTGCAAAAAAAGAATCACCCATTTCAATCCTAATCACCTACTTCGTTTTGGATATTAGGATGATGTTTTTAATAGTCATACAAAATATATCTTACAAAGACCATTGTATTTTGTTTATCACAATCCTAAATTCACATGCTGTAAACGATGTACTTTGCCCTATTACCTGGCTATTTTTTGGATTATTAATTTGGATATATGAATTGTAGAACCTGAAGTGAATTTATCGAAAAGAATATTCTTCGTTCAAACGTTAGTCTTTTAATAGGTAAGGGATCTTTAAACGATTAAAATACGAATAATTTCATATCATGACTATTTTATCTTCCGTTACATTCAACATTATGATCTAGTATTGAAATTACAGTGAAGATTTGAAACTCAGTTGGATGATTTGATTGTTTTTGAGTTTTCTGATCTCGATGATGTAATGTCAGAGTTTTAATTAACATTTAGGACAACATCACCAGCGCTTACTTCATGTAGAAACGAGTTATTTAGTTATTACACAAATGTTAAATCAATTTGTCTTATTAACCTTGATCATGATTTGTTAACGATTAACTAAAAACAACGAAAACCATAAGAATAGCCAGTCAAAATCAAGACCGAACAACTAGATGGCTCATTTCTACATGAAATAAGCTCTGATAATATTGTTCACATCATTCATGAAAGCTCTGTCAGTATGTTATTGAGCCCAATGAATTTGATAATATCAAAAGATTTAACAATAAATATATAAATATACGTTCACATAGAAGCTGAAATATTTTCAGTCTTAAAATCCAATAAAAAGAAATATTGTTTTACTTATCAATTTGTTTAAACTCCGCCTGGAGTCGGGCATGGGGTTAGCGACCCCATCTTGTAGAAAACTAACTCGCCAAAAAAACGCTAACCAGAAAAATAAACCATTCAAACCTTTTAAATTCTGCCCTGGGAGTCAAAAGGTCTTCATTTAGAAGAGTTATGACGCCTCATGATGAAAGCCGAGTTCCTTCGGATGTCACGAGGCCGATGCCCCTTCTGACAACCAAAGCAACCATTTATTTAAGTACATGGAAATCAATTTGTTTCCATTTGTGTATATATGCTATGAGCACTTCAAATAAGAAATTGTACCATTAACTTAATATTCATTTATCTTCTTTACTTTGAATAATTTAACTTAAGTGTAACTAAAGCGTGGATCTATCATATTTTCTATCATTTCAACTGTAAATCTTATATACATACATCTATATTAGATATAAACTTGACAATTTTGTTAAATCATAAGCATATGACCAATAAACTAAATTACAATCAATTTTCTTTTCATTACAAAAAAAGGAAACTTTGCCATATATGTATCGAATATACTCAACAATAATAATCAATATTAAAAATAGTAAAATCTTGTAAGAAAAATTTTTGTCCCTTCACCATCCACCCCCCCCGCAAAAAAACATAACTTTTGCGTGATCAACTATCCTAGTTACAAACTTCACTAGTTTCTATACACAAATGAATACAAATACTTTCAAGTGAATATTTTACATGTAGATATATTATGAATTTTTTTATTATAATTTTGTTGTTGTTGCTTAAAACGAATTTTCTAACTAACCACTAAATAAACATTGATGATTGTAGTTCAACATGACGAAAGAGAATTACTCTCTATTATTATTCTTTGATTTTTTTCTACAAACCAATTTATTGATCAAAAACATATACACACATCAAAAAGAAAAAAAAGACAAAAAAGAGAAAAATTAATTTTTCTTTTCTTTTCTGACTCTATTTCCTTTTTTTGATTACAAGTTTACTTATGATTCAGTGAAATCTCTATTTATTAAAAATATATATATCTTTGTACAGTTAGTGATCTATGATATAATAGTGAATAAAATAATAGTTGAATTCATGAGTCATTTAAAGCTTGATTATCAAAGAAAACCTGGAAACACTGGATGATCATTGTTTCGTCCTAGTATACAACTCCTCAGCAAGGTGCATCCATGATCCTGCCTCGTGACAATCGATTTCAAGATTTATCGGTTTCACGCAAGAACACTTAACCTCTAGACCACTGAGATGATATCCAATGGTGTTAGTGTCTAACTTTGATCAATTTACGAAATTGCAACACCGTTCACTATCTTACAAGAGACCTGGTTGAACTCCACTAGCCACGATTTCTTACTAGAACTCCAGGATATACCTCTTGAAGTTAGTCATTAGTGGTTGAATTTGGACATTAACACCATTGGATGTTGGATCAATGGTCTACAGGTTAAGGTTTTGCGCGCGGGACCGATAAGTCCTGGGTTAGAGTCTTGCGGGTGGGATGGTGAATGTGCACTGCTAAAGAGTCCTATACTAGGATGCAACAACTGTCCAGTGTTTCCAGGTTTTTCATGGTGATCTAGCTTCAATTGACTCATGAATTCAACTATTAAAATTACTAAAATCTCCACAAAATAATAATTTCCTTATTGGTTTTAAAAAAATTTAACATTATTACGAAGCTATTTATGATTATTTGAAGATATTTAATCAAAATAAAGACTGAACATAATTTATATTGTATTAACTGTGGAGTATGTTCTATTCTAGAATCGATTAAGGTTATTAGGTATTTATAATGATTGTATCACTGATGACTAAATAGCTGTTTACTATTTTACAATAAATAATCATAACAGAGATCGTTGATAGAGTAACCTGAAAAAATAACCGTTATTGAAAGGAAGTATTAATTTGAATTCAGATAATTTGTGATTTCACCAGGTGACTATTATAAGAAGTTTAAGACCAGAAATATACTAGACTAAACTATAAAACATTTAATTATATAACTTTAAATATTTTTTGATTGAAATCATGGGTCAGTTGAAGCTAGACCACAATGGAAAACCTGGAAGCATTGGACGGCCGTTTCGTCCTAGTATGGGACTCCTCAGCAGTGCGCGTCCATGATCCCGCACCCCACGAGATAATCGAACCCAGGACCTATCAGTCTCGCGCAAGGCGCTTAACCAACTAGACCACTGAGCCGGCATCGAATGGTGTTAATGTCTAACCTTTTCTTTGAAAATCAAGTTATTTATCTACCTAAAATATTCATCCTTCAAAGTAATTACTTTTATAAATACGTTTCTTTTAAACAAGTAGACTTTGTATTGAAATCTAATTTGATTTGATTTTACAATGATGGGTAGGAAAAAAAATCTATTTTTCCGTCAGCAACTCATGTTGTCTAGAAAGTAACCAAGATTTACATATTTTCTTTTTGTCTAATGTTAAACTACACAAACACATTTCACTTCTGCAATTACTACACTCTAATCTGTTTGCATTTTATTGTCATTAAATCAGTCAGTTTATGTTCTGTTTTTAAAAAAAAAATTATTCAGTCAAGTATAGTTTGACAGGCGGAAACATAAATTTGTCACAATTTCTAAGGAATTAATTGATGAACTTTAATACTAGAAAACAACAATATAATTGTTGTACAACTACTAGATATACTTGTCTCTAAATGATCAAACTTGGATGTTGGGATGAATTATAAGGTTTCTTGTTGATTGTGTTCAACAACTTTATATCTAAGTAATGATATCTTATTGTTCAAATATCTAGACAGTTCATCATACTACAGTTAAACTGGTATTGAATATAAGACAAGATTCGCAGATTAGTTTTTAGTAAATACCATCATTTTCATTATCATTATATTTGTGTGAGAGGTAGCCAGTGTATGACATGGTGTCGTAGTATGAAAGAAAGCTGCAAAGGGCTGGCTTGTGTCCGTCCTTCACAACTCCCTGGCTGGGGTCCGAGAGATGGTGCAACACAGTGGCTCGAGAATTTATCAGATATGATTTAGAATCGAAGCCAGTGGCGATCCTGCTGTAACCTTCTTTTACTTTCTTCATAAAAAAATGGTTGTTTCTTTCTTAACTGAAAGATTTCCGATTGTACTTGCCCGTCTCCCCCATTATTACTATTATTATCATTATTATTATTATTATTATTACACTATCTTACACTAATCTGTACGTTATTGTTTTTTTTTCTCTTCGAACTCTCATTGTTTTGTGTAGCGCTTACATATTTGGTGCCCTCTTGTACCAATATTTATGTGTTCAAATAAATAATAAATAAATAAACAGATTAGTATAGCTACTTATCCGTGGATACAAATGAAATATATATTATGCTCAGTTGGAACTAAGTAAATATAAGCTGAGGACGCCAAACATAAGTGTTATCTTCTTTTAGTTGGATACTATAACTTCCCTAAATACTTCAAGCTAAACTTGATAAATTCTAATCACTATTACAATACTAAAAATAGAGTCATTTCTCCTTAAATCATATAATGAACACAATCAATAATCAATGTTATACATACGAATATATTCAAAGTACTGTGATTACATCCAGTAAACTTTGTAAAAATGACTATCTACTCATTCTTCTATTCTATTTCTCTGTGGATACATTCTTTGAAACAAGTGAAAATGATTCAAGGGATACTTAACAATATTTTCCATTGATATATTCACAATTTTGATGGAGTTTTGTTCTCTGAGCTAGAGAACTCCATCGAAATCATCCAACTGAGCTACAACTCTTCTCCACTATCTCATATATTCACAATATTTTACAGTATACCAGGTATTATATTCTTAACATTTACCATAATACACCAATATTTTCTATGTAAATACTTAAATCAAAAACGATATAAAAAGTACGATCAATAAACTCTGCAAAATTATGAATGTTTTTACAGATTTTATCTTATAGACACTTTTCCCTGAGAATCAGTTTCATGAGAGTGTAATTTTAAAATAATGGATGATGATGATGATGATGATGATGATGATGATGATGATGATGATGATGATAAGGCTGCTGACGAAATTCTTACTATCTATATTATGATGTTCACAATTGTACAGGCGCTTATTTTTCCTTTTGGAAAAATGTTTAGAAATACTAGTAACACTGTGTTAATTACATAGCAAACCATAAAAGTTGTAATTTGTGGGCGTGGGTTTTTGTTATCAGTAAAATTATTGAATGATTTTCATCAATAATATGGTCGATAAGGAAATAAAAGTCAAATAGTTTACATTATAAACTGAGGGTGAGGTAGACATCTATTGAAAATCGGAAAGTATTGAATAGTTATTTCATTTTAGTATAAGATTGCTTAATAGTGCTCATCCACGATCCTTCACGGAATATTGAATTCAAAATTATTGAGTCCTGTGACAAACAAACCAGTTCTTATTTGTCACTTAACTAAAGACAGTTCATTATATAAACTATAGGAATCAATTATTAATCATAGACCTATATTGATAAGAGATAAATACTTAAAATTGATTTAGATGGTGGTTGGAGGTAGTCAACAGGAAACCCTAGACCCGGGTTTCGTGCTACTTGGCACTCGTCAGAAAGGTGTACCTGTAATCTTGAGGGAACTGATGCTCCCTCGCGGATTCGATCTCGTGTCACCCAGCTTCACAGTCAGAGAAGTTACCACTGAGCTATCCAACTACCATCTAAAAATCTCAATACATAGTGTCCGCAGTGTCGAGTCACCTAGACTGGTGGTCACATTGCAACATGATCGATAGCATTCGATCTGCACTAATAAGGACTAGACAAGCATGACATTGATCACCACCCAGTGATCAATCAATTGTGATTACTTAAAATTGATACTCATCATAACCAATTACCATTTTCAAGAAAAACCTTCATAAAAGTATAAACTGTCGTACAGTTATATTTATCTTGATTAAATAAAGTTTCGAATTTTTAAGCAGTAGATCTAATGTATATGTCAGTTTTCAAGTGTTCAATAGCTATTCTTGGATCATGTGTGCAAATATCTTTAATTTGTCTGAACCCTTTCAATAGACAATCTATATAAGTTATTGAAAAATCTTAGTTATTCGAAGACGTAGATGATTAGTTACTGGTTATGATATAAACATAAGTAATTTGAATCTTCCGATTGATTCATCTAAACAATACCAAGTAAAATTAAACTTCACCCCATTGCACAAGCAAGTGCCTAACAGGACTCAATAGCTAAGTGGATAACACTATGGAGTTTGAAGTGAACGGTACTGAGTCCAAATCCCAGAGTGAATATCAACTCTGAGTAGCAGTTACATCCAGCTGATGAGTCCCAAATAGGACGAAACGTGCGTCCTGAATTCCACTACTAGCCAATATCTATCTTTGCTTATAATAAGTAATTTGTTTAGAGAAATATTCTATTTGATAAACTACAGGAAAACTAAATGAACCAAACATCGTGTTCGTTGTTTACTTTATATGATAATAATAATAACAATCCCATTGTATAGAATATAAATGTTGTAATCCAAGTTGGGTTTGAATCCCGTGGGTGAAATCATGGATGCGCACCTCTGAGGAGCTCCAATATTTCTGGATGTGATCTTCTAATAGTTGTGAGTTTTTACTCTCCAATAGTTCAACAATTTCTAAGTTAGAGTTTCATAATTTTTAATGACTCTAGAAAATATAGGTCAATATATGGTGAATAACAGTCTCAAAAGAATTCAATGCAATCCGAGGAAGACGTTTTTCTTCAGTTACAAGTTATGTCTTGATATTCGTGAAATCCTTCTTCAAATTTCAGTAAACCATTTAGCTAAAACACAAGTATACGTTGCATTATGTTAATCGTTTCATGCCAACTTCTAGTCAAATAAATTGATATTAGTAGTATTATACCCTAGAATCTCAACATTTTTGAAATAATCTGTAAAACAAAATCTCATACAGATAATGTTTATTCAATAGGGATTTTCAAAATGGAACTATTCAAGCATATGACTGAATCATTGAATCCACGTTTAAAGATAAAAAAATAGGTTGACACATTCTTTTGAAGCATCATCATCATAATATCACATAATCTGTTGACATCTCACATTAGTAGACAAATCAAAGTTAAAAGGGATTCTTCATGATGAAAACAGATCAGAATAGATAATACTTGGTTCTTTTTATTAGTTTGGATTTTATAATCTTTAAATTGTAATAGTTCAATTCACAAGTCGATTTAAGCTAGACCACCATTGGAAACCTGGAAACACTAAATGGTTGTTTCGTCCTATTGTGGGACTTCACAGCAGTGCTCATCCACGATCTCATATGTGAGAATCTGACCCAACATCTTCAGTATCGCGCGCGAACGCTTAACCACTAGACCACTGAGCTGGTCGGCATCCACGAAATTGAACGACCGTCGATCATTGTCTTCAGCGAGTAACTGCTTCATAACGGACAAGGTCTAGAGTTTTGGTGTTCACGCGTGAAACCGAAGGTTCTGTGTTCGAGTGGATGCGCACTGATGTGGAGTCCTATACTAGGACGAAACGGCCTTTCCATGCTTTCAGGTTTTCAATTATGGTCAACTCATGAATTAAACTGTCGAATTACTACAAACTCCCATTCCTATTTCATTGTTAACTAATTTACATTTAATGTCGACTGTATGCATGTTTTAAAGAAGAAAATTCAGTTCTTTTAATGAAAATTTAGTCTGTATTTTATAAATTCAAACGTTATTCGGTTGCTATAAAAGTGAATTTTAATTTTCCTGAATTTGTGTAAAGTTTCTTTTAATATAGTGGTATTTAATATCAGAATTAAAATTAAGTCATTACGTAATTGAACAAAAACTTTCAACTTAGTATTTAGGTATTATTCTCTATCTGCATAATCGAAACAACCCAGTAAATATCAAGTTTGTTAATAATACTAAGACTAAAGTAGGGAAGTCCTACTCACTGCCTTCTCGTGGCAGGGGTGTTATTTACGAAATTGAGAGGACGAAAAGCGAGTGTCTAGCGCTTTAACCGGGTTGGCGGACACGGAGAGTTCACCTAAGGAAGTTGAAAAAACCCTGATTCAAAACCAATGATGTACATGTGCTTAAGGATCCTAAGGGAACAAATGGCATATGAACCAATTATTTGTCACCGGCAACCATGGGACCGCATCTCCTGAAGTTGCTCCACTGTCTTGTGGATCAGTCCTTTAGGTCGAACACTCCTGGTATGCCCCCTCAAGAAAACCACCCTTTTTGGTTTGTGCACCCGGAAATTATCCCAGACCTCACACAAATCGAGTGATTTATGTGGCATATATATATTTGGTGCCTCTTTGTGCTAATGTTTATGTGTTTAAAATTAAAACAAATAAAAAAGAGGTGAAGAATGTTTGTATCTAAAACACAATCGTTGAAATGAAGAGATATTTCTTGGCTTAGTAGTGAATGAATACAAATGTTTATGATATTTATAAATATTATAATACACGTTTAAATGTCAAATCAAATAAGTAGTATAGAAATGTATAGATAGATATATATTCAATGACAACTTACGACATGCATTATCCTGAGAAACATAAATTGTACCACCTGGGCAAGCACAATATCCTGCACCTGGATGACATGCACTATTCACTACATGTATACAGTCACTATCCACTTGACATTTTAAATTGGTTAACACTACAAAATGAAATATATATATATATATCTTTCTAAATGCAACAATTATGTGTATAGTTAAAAGTTATTATTATGTTATTTAAGTTACAAATAAATAACACCGTTGAATGACGGCTCAGTGGTCTAGAGGTTAAGCGTTCATGCGCGAAACTGAAGGCCCAGGCTTTGAATCTCGCGAGCGGGATCATGAATACGCACTGCCGGGGACTCCCACAATGGGACGAAACCATCAAGTACTTCCAGGTTTTCAATGGTGTTCTAACATCAATCAGCTCATGATCTCAATCAAAAACTAAATAATCTCTACAACCCCTATACGGATAATAAATAACTAATTCAAAGATTTGTAGAAATTTTTAAAGAAATCAACTTTGTCACGAAATGAAACGCACTATAGGTCTTTTGAACAATTAAGACCTTTGGACTGTGTTTTTTTCTCGTTCAACTCAAGATACCCTGAAATTGATAACTGGAGTATACAGTGTTTGATAAAATTAGCATCTACTAACTATAGATTTGACAATAACCACTTTTGATCTAAAAACTATGTAAGTAGTTTAAAGCTATCATAGTGAACACACACATGAATATACTTAGTTCAACCTTGTGTAGTTTATGAATACATATTACTGAGGACTTGTAAACCAGGACAAAACAACAGTTCATTTTGCTTCTTATATTGTTAAGGATTCTCTAGTTAACATCTGCCTTATTGAAGATACTGTTTAGAAATTGTTCATGATATAAGTCAAGCAATAAAATTCTCTGAGCAGCCGTCGTTTCCTATTCACAATGAGAAGTATTCAAAGTTGACCAAAAAGCACTAGGCATCTATCGAAAGAATTCTAAAAACCCTTTTAGGTCTGCAGATGTATAAAATATCATATTAATTTAAAATAACAAGTAAAAGACACTGCATTTAAGTCTAAGTGTGAACACCCACACCGGAATGTAGATATTGTGGTCCTGAATCTGACTCCACTTAGATCATGTGAATGATTGTTATTGAATGATCGCTATTGTGATAAACATGTCGCCAATCTTCGTATAAAATTGTCGACTTAACTCTCGTTGGTGAATAACGGAACTAAAATAAGTCAAATACGAGAATGGATGTTTGAATAAGTATATTTTGCATACTCGATGATCTGGACAGACAGTCAGAGTGACGAAAAAAGAAAGCGAATAGATGAGTGTGAAAGGAAGTGAAGCAGAGTGGAGACGGTGTGTGAGCTAACTTGATTTACCCAAACAAGAATAAGCTACAGACATTTGATGAGTAAGATAGGAAATGCACACATATATGTTTACATATTAGAACAGTCACTGTTGACAAACGAATAATTAATATAGTCAAAATGTACTTCCTGTCCGGAAACTAGAATAAGCTATGTGAACTCAACATAGCAACCAACACTACACTGACGCATCCAAATGATTAATCCCATATGGGATGAAAATCATATATTCTGGATTCCACTGATAACCCCTATTTAACTACAGAAATAATTTCTATGTTTATTATTGTTTAGTTGAACAAATCAGATTTATCACTCAACAATTAATACTTTTCTCTTATTAAGTATCCCATTAATATACTTTGTAACATTTACAAAAATGAATCTGTAACTGTAAGGAGGACTTAACTATGTAGAACCTTTTGATCACAACATAAAGATAGGAAATTAATTTAATTTTATCCTGCTTTTCTTCAAGTCATTTGATCTAGTAGTCCTTCTAAAATTAACTGATATATTTTACAGACTAATGATGAGATAGATCTTAATTACTTACTGTACCTCTCTCTGTAACATTTCTTTATCAATAATATTTTTATTACTGATAATGTATTTCAGTATTAAACAATATGCTAACGGATTTCATTTGCTTTACAGATCTCAACGGTTTGTTGTGTTGTTTTTTTTTCTTTCAGTTCCGAAAAACAGTAGTTTAATAAGTGTCAATTAACATGAAATCTAGGTTCAAACTACTTCCAACTATCTAACATGTAAACATTAGTGCACTTGAAATAAAGTAACTTACATCAGTGATCATACTACTAATTGGTTGATAGGAATTGATTAGCAATAACGAACTTGACAAACATGACATTGGTTACTAATCAATGATCAGTCAATAGTATTAATTCCAACTACATTACTCATTTATATGTACAGGTTTTCTTAGATCATTCTGTTGATGTTTAAGACTGCAATTGATCCATTGCATAAATCATTAACTAACTGGACTCATTAGATAAATGGATAATGTGATGGTTTATGAAGAGAATAGTACTGCTTTACGAATTTTAGAGTGAGCGTCAACTCGGAAAGTTAGGTACATTCGGCCGACGAATCCCAGATGTGACGAAACATGCGTCTCAGATTCTACTGCTAGCTGCCACCATCCATTACTATGTCATTCTTTATTTATCAATTTAAACTTTCTATAGTGAGGTTTATTGTTCGATAGTGTTGTCAACTACTCTGTCAACCAACTTAAGTTTGTTTAATTTCTTAATGATATATTTTTGATAAAAAATCTCCATGAAAAGATAAGAGAAAATCCCAAAACAAAAGACTTAAACTTGTTAAACAGTATGTATCAACTTACAAATTATCAACATGGTGTGTTTAAGGACAGATTTTTGCCGTGAACTAACTCTTATTAGTGATGAATGTCATATCCATTTAGTTCTTGGCACATATACATGGTGTTTCAAACCTATGTCACCTAGTGTCGCTATCACTGAATCTCACAGAGTTTCCTACTAACGTTCTTCGACTATCCAACTTAAAAAATGGATGTTATTTCTATTGCTTTTACATCGATTATAGTTGTTTAGTAAATATCCATAATGCAAACTATCTATAAATTTAAGAATATCCATAAACAATGAAGAAAATGCACATGTTACGTTATATTAGGAAAATAACTTCACTTATACATATAAGAATGAGTATTTAATGAAGAGTAAAAGTAATGGCAGATACTTTGTTAAAGGTTTCTTTCATTTAATTATGATATCCTTATGGACTTTACTAACTCGATGTATCCATATGTTCATGCTAGTTATTCTGTCTAGTTGACTTCGAATTATCTGATTGATAGACAACTTCCTGTTATATCACCGATAATAAATCATGTGTTCTGTTTAACAGATTTCAGCAAGTTATATAATGTTATCAGTTGTCGAAATAGCCCTTGATAATTATTTATTCAATTGTCCTATAGCACTAGTAAAAAGGACTCGTGAAGACTACTGAATTCTGTAGTTAAAGTAGCAAACAACTGTTGGAATCGTAGACAACAATTGTTACGATATCCCCTACTAGTCCATGAAGAGAACTACACAACTAGTTAATTATTTGCTATAAATGATGTCAGTTGTTAACAGACTAGTAAAAGTTCCTTCCCATATTGGAGACGATCCTTAACATACTGAAAGCTAAGGTTATACTGTTTAGGCCTTGTAGACCATAGATTACACATTATATAATCATCGCACATGGGTGACAATAAGCTATGCAACATTTTAACCTCATAATTCAAAATGAAATCAATCTCGTTTGTTTTGTTTGATTTCACAAGCTAACTACACTAATAGACTTCAAGATGCATAATATATTTATTTTAATTTCTTTAGCACAAATAATATTCTTTGTTTGCGATCTCTAACCAGAACTCCGCCTGGAGCCCCCCTAGAGCTACTGCCGGTCCCATGCCCTGATAAACAAGGAGGGTTAGGCATGGGGTTAGCAACCCCATCTCGCAGAAAACAAACTGGTTAAAAAATGCCACTCGGGAAAATATATGTGGATTAAATTAATTCCCTTTAAAAACTACTTGAAATTATCGTACGTATTTGAACATACTTATATTCATCTTCTAAATGTCTGAAAACAAATTACACTTTGAAGAAGTGGTAAGTATTTTTGTAAGAGTTTTGATTGAATTTGGTTAGGCAGACAACGAAAACCAACGAAAATAGGTGGCTGTTCCTCATTAGTATGATATTCTACTACAATACACATCTGCAACCCTACCTGGGATCGAAATTAGAATTCAAAGTTCTGGGGATAAGCACTTAAATTTCAGACATCTAAGTTGGCAATATAATGGTTTACACTTTTTAATTCAGTCAATTCGTGTTTTCGAGCGATCATTATCTAATGCCATTCATGGTTAACTGCTTCATCTTCAAAATTTTTGTACTCCACTGATCATCGTTCCTCAACAAAACCACAGAAATTGCCTCTCAAAGCTAGTAACAGGTAGATGTGTGACGACCTTTAAGTTGATACAAAATAGCTGTTTGTTGCTTCCAGGTTTTCAAAGTTTGAAAAACTGATTTAAAGTCTAAGGTGAAATTGTAAGTATAGTGTTGTGGAGATTGTTGAGTTTCATTGAAATCGTGAAGCCATCATTGTTAGACCACCACTGGGATTCTGAAAGCACTGGACACCCGTTTCGGCCTTGACAGCAAACATCCACGACTTTGTACTCAGGGATAGGAGTTTAAGACCAAGGGTACTGGGTTCGATTTGCGTGTACGAGGTTGTGGATGTTCGCTGCTGAGGAGTTCCGTGCTAGGACGAGGCGGTCGTTCAGCGCTTACAGATTTTTAATGGTGGTCTAACACTGATAGATCTATGATCTCGATTAAGCATTAAACATTAAATTGGTTTCTTCTCGATCTGAGGTCTTGTTTACTATAATATGATCTAATACCAGTCATCTTTATCCATCTGAAATCTAACAAGTAATTCTCTGCATACGATATACTTAGTTTGATTCGAGGAAATGGTGTATTCCAAGTGAATATTGTAAAATGTACTTAAACAGTCGGATAGAAATAACGAAACTTAAAGAAATTTTAACTGTAGCTTGTTTAGCCAGGCTATGTGGTCTTCTGCTTTAAGATAATTGACTTGCCCAACTGTACATTTCATAGAATTGGCTCATCAAGAGAAGTTGAATTATTAAACGCGCATAGATTTGGCAAACTCAAACAGTCTGTCATTATTAATGATTCTCATTATCAGACAACTGTGGAGAACCACATTCAGTTTGGCTGAAGTATTGATTTTCTGAACAGCTTTTTTGACCTTTATTTCATCTGTAGCGTCGTTTCTGTACTTCAATTTAAAAAAAAACACAGTAACTTCTTCATAATAGTTACTACATTCTGTCTTATTCTTTTTTGCTGAAAATTTAGCCGGACACTATTCTTAATGAGAAGATCAATTCATCTTCACTGGTAGTGTCAGAAAAATACCCATTTTAACACGATTATTCAAGATTTCTACCAAGTTCTCTTCGTGTTCCATTAGTACACAAATATATAAATCTATCTATTGTCATATTGTGGATTTTCTAAGTATGGTTCATTATACTTAGATTTTATGGCTGATAACTTGGAATGTATTTGATGACACCCCATGTTGTACCAATGTTTATGTGTTCAAATAAATAAATAAAGTATAATAATATTGATCCGTAATACAAATTATGTATCTATTTCACAGTTTACAACACAGACTGATCTTAGGGGCGAATAATCATTTAAAACCAAGAAGCATTAGACAAATGTTTCATCTCATGATAAAACTCCTCACAATGACAATTAACATCAAAAACCTTAACCGTTCTCGAACTCAAGATCTATACATTTCATGACAAACATATAACTTTTAAAACTATTCAATAAATATTACATAGTTTCACTTACATGTTTTACAAGTAATTCCATAACTTTCTTGTATTGATACATAACCAGGTTTACAAAAACATTCATTTTTCTCTAATGAACACATACTATTAGCAACACGTCTCATACAATAGGCATCACCTTCTTGTAAACATGGTCCTGGTGAAACAACATGAAATTCATCAGCATTAATCCATAATATTAAATAAATTAATAGAATATAATCATTGATTATAATAATATTCATGATTTAATTATAATGAAATATTCTGTACTCCTTTCATTATTGATCATACGTAACTGGGAACTTATTATCATTATTATTACTATTAATAGTAATAGTAGTAGTATTATCCCATTACAAGGAACATTAGAATGTATTCCTTATTTATATTGACTAGAATATAATGCCTAATATTAAAGTTTATAATGATGAAAAACATTTAGTTTCCCAGTGAATTTTCATTTGTAAATAGTTAACTAATTGAAATTAACCAATCTAAAATCATTCTATACTTGGATTGGTAAATGTATGAATGTTCATAGTTCGATGGGTGTGTGTGTATGTGTGTACAGTGATATATATATAAAGTTTTACCTGAATTCATCGAATTACCAATTGGAAAGTAGAGATGAGAAGGTATTTTTAGAAGAGGTTTTGTCGAGATTTTCTGTAATTTTAATAGTTGTATTCATGAGTCAGTTGAAGTTAGACTACCATGGAAGCACTTGACGACCGTTTCATTCTAGAATTTTACTCCTCAGCAGTGCACATCTACGATCCCGCTTCACGAAATTCGAACACAGAACCTATCAGTCTCGCGCGCGAACACTTAACCTCTAGAACACTGAGCTGGCCGGCATCCAACGGTGGTAATGTCTAATTTCAACTAATCAACGAAATCAAGCGACACATCTAACATTGTGATCAGTGAGTTACTATCTCACAACAGACCTGGTTGGACTCCATTGGTCACGGTTTCTCACTAGAACTTCAGGAAATACCACTTGAAACCAGTTACTAGTAAGCACATGTTGATTATCATCAGAATGGAGTTTTGTGGAGATTTTATTAATTTAATAGTTGTACTCATTAGTCAGTTGAAGCTAAACCACCATGGAAAACCTGGAAACACTGGTTCGAATCTCGCGGCTCGGGATCGTGGATGCACAATGCTGAGGAGTCTCATACTAGAACGATACGGCCGTCCAGTACATTCAGATTTTTCATAGTGGTCTAGTTACAATTGACTCATGAATTCAACTATAAGGTATTTATTGTGTTTATGTATATATATACCAGTAAGTATCAACAGTTGGTATCACGGACCGATTTAAGTCAAACAACTACTGTTGAACATCTAGTAGTGGATAATTGTTTCGTCTTCTTACTATGGGAGTTCTTATGAGTATTCATTCACAATTCTTTAGGGAATTAAACAGATTCTTCAAACTTCACTGCGATAATTTGACCTTATAGTCTACTCAGTTGGTATATATTGGTCTTTATTTCATACTTAAGACAATTCACTATATCGTAAAATCATTGTCCAATACCACTTTTAAGGAAATCTCACCTATAGCTATAATTGAATTTTGTAAAAATTATTTAAGCTTTAAAACATCTGAATATTACAAAATTGGGGGTTGATTATTAATTTTAATTTTATTAGATTTGATAGAATTAAAGTGACAAGTTATTTATTGTAGTTAGATTTAAGTTCACTTGGTGCTGTTTTACTTGAATCTTCCCATGTTGCCATATGTGCATCCTGTGCGGATGCCTTGATATAGCCTTAAGTGAACATCAACTCTGGGATGTAGGTACATCCAGCTGACAAATCCCAAATAGAACGAAACGTGCATTCTGGATTCCACTGCTAGCCACTATCCATCTTTGCTTAAGTTAGATTTAAGGTTTAAATTATTGTGATTACGGATTTTTTTTTAATGTTTACAATTCACCAAAACAGTTACATCATATCCCCATGTTTTCACCAATTTACCTGTTTGTATAGATATGCATACAAATGAATGAGAAATTAGGACTTAAAAGTTGGAGTGGATGGACATGTACTAAAATGGCTCCGAAAGTAAATAAAGTGAAACAGTCAAGGGTAATTATTAGAATACATTGTAATTAAAAATGCAATCTTAAAACAACACTAATCAATTATACTCCATTTAAATTTACTAACAGGTTTGACGAGTATAAAACGATGAGAGGTAAAATATTCATCATAAATGAGAGAGCGGGAATGAACTACGTGTGTCTTGATCATATTCATCCTCTCCAATTGTCGAAAACACACTTGAAACAAGCCAAAAGTTTGATCTTAACTCAATCTTTGTAGTTTAGTCTGAAAGATTGTCTAGAGTAAATATTCAGGTTTGTCGAAGCCTCATCCAAACGAAAGTTTAACTATCCCATAAACTTGAAAACATTTTGTACATTTACTACTTCGACATTTGTAATCATAGTTTATTATATCGATAATTCAATTCTTTGTAATGTATAATCCAGTTACATTTTCACTTCATTTTATTCTGCTATTCCTTTGTTAATTTTATTCTCTAGACTACTGAGACAGCATCCAACGTTGTTAATTTGGAGATTGTAGTCATTTTAAGAGTAGAATTCATGAGTTGATCTAAGCTAGACCACCATCGAAAATTTGCAAACTATATCATAGACTGTTCTTAGTTAGTCAACCAGTAAAGACTAGGAAGTGTCAGTTAGCTAATTAGTCCCAGCATGTGACTACTCAGTAATAGAAGTTCACCATTCTACCTCAGAAGATAGAACTCAGAACTGTCGTTCTCGCACATGAACACTCAGCCTCTAGACCACTGGCCGATATCCAATAGCTTACATTTGTAACATTGAGCAGTCATCATCCAGTGTCTTTGGAAGGTAACATGGTTAGAGTTTCTCGTTAGAACTTCAGAAATTATCCCTCAAAATCAGTCAACTACATACAGACGATTTCGGGTTCCGAGAAGTCACGTACTAAGATGAAATATCTGTCAAATACGTCCTATCTCGGTAATCAATTTGTGTACAACTAAAACCAGCCAGTAGATTTTACTGAAAACAGAACTCTTTTATAGTAAAATTGTTTCGAGATAATTAAAATGTCCACATTAAAAGTAATTCCTATTATTAAACTTTAATTATCACTGTATTGTCTTTAAATCTACTAAAATCCATTCAAGTAAAAATAAAAATAAACTGTGTGACATTTCTTGGTATTGTATGCTTGTATCTACCCATTGTTGTTTAGGACTGCAATTGATCAATCTCTAATTGGCATATGTGCATACTGTGCGGACTGCCTTGATTTGCCTTAATTCACAAGCAGAGATGTATTGTGGTTAGCAGTTGAATCCATGACGCGCGTTTCGTCCTGTTTGAGACTCGTCAGCTGGATGTAAATGCATCCCATGTATATGTACTACCACCGAAGAGCTCTGCACTAGGATTAAGTAACCATTCAATGCCTGTACTTTTTCAATGGTTGTCGTATACTGATCAGTTCGTGATTCCAATAAAGTTACGGGGATCATTGACGACCATATTGACAAATAATCTTATTAATTTCAAGATATTTAAAATGCAATTGATTCATTTCACATTTTTATTAATAGGGATATCAAGATTGAAAAAACTTCAATAAGTACAATCTTCAAAGATTTAGGTTTAGAAACTGAAATATTATGTCCCGCAAAGTAATTAGCCGAAGCCTTTTTAATAATGTAGATTTCTAGGAAGGTAAGGGTTAATACTTTTAAACTATGAACTGATCTCAGTTGAAGATCTGGTATAAACGAGAGAGATTTAGACAACTATTCTATTCAAATATAGGGATACTTATCATTAATCATCGACGCTCATTTGTTGCTGGGAAATATGAGATCTCTTTACTATATAGTGAAAAACCTATGATCTCTATTTTCCTATTTCAGTTTCAATGTGCATAATACTTCTGAATTGCAAGCTGTATTTCTTCAGATATAATTTTTCATTATGAAAAAAGAAATCCAGTTTAAGCGATCTTCACAGGACCGTTCCGTTGATAATTGATTTACTAGTAATTAAAGACTATTGAATTTCATTGAAACCATGAACCGACCGAAGTTTGACAACCAAAGGAACCTGGGTGCAATGGATGGCTGCTTTATCTTAGCATAGGACTTCTCTGTGGTAGTCCGCACCTACTACCGTACAACCAGAAATCTAACGCAAGAACACTTAACCTCCAAACCAATGAATCGGGCTCCAGTGATTCACAAATCTGATTTTAATCAATCTACGATACTTTACTATTTTCTTCAACTGTTTTCGTTGAATATCTACCTCATATCTGACACAGTTGAACTCTCCACTGCCTACGGCCTCTTAATAGAACTCCAGAAGAAATATTATGAACATTTGCTACACTATTAACAATTAGATCAACGTTTCAAAAAGAATGAAATTTAACCGTCGTCTCAATAAAATTCCACCTGAAAGTAGTTTATGAGAGCATGTTATCTCAAAATAACGAGGCAATTATTAAAAAGTGGATAACACCTAGTTGTACAATATTTGGATATTTAATGATTCCACAACTAGACTTTCATTTAGGAAGTTTAACTTCATGTGTAAGTAGAAAAGTTTAGATCATTACTAGATGAACGGTGGTATCTATAAACATTTTTCAATGGTCACTTAAACAAGGAACATTCAGTTATGTAAAAGTCATCAAATATAAATACAGATAAACATATAATGTGTCGTTTGAATAGGGACATAAATTATATGAATCCAAAAATTGAAGTTTCCGTTTGACTAACAGAAAGTTCTAGGACAAAACGGCGATTCGGTGCTTTCAGGTTTTCAATGGTGCTTCGACATTGATTGGTTCATGATCTCAATTGAAACTCAACAATCTCCACACTTTTACACTGATAATTATCATGTGTTTATTACTGACTAGGTTCAAGATGGAGTTCCAGTGAGAAGTGTTGACTAGTTGTGTTCAATCGTATCTGTTGTGAGGCAGTTACCCATCAAAGATAATGGAAAATAGTAGTGCAATATTGTGGACTGTCTGAAGTTAAGCATTAAAACCGTTGGATGCTATTTATAGTCACATCAAGCTATTTAGTATTGAACACGTAAAATATATTATTTTCTTATAAATTGCGAACTACTAATCAGTAGTTTGTGTTGTCTAGCATAATTGTCAAGTGAGTTGTAAGTAG